ACTTGATTAGCACATTGAACCTCTGTGAATCATCGGGGGATCCTTGAAACCTGCTATTAATATGAACATTCAAAGTTGTTAATTTCAAATAAAAGAAAGCCAGGATATTAAACCATGTGAGTGAACACATAACAGTGTGAATGGCACTTTTATACAGTACATGCAAAAATATTTCACTTAAACTATTTCAGTATTCTTAAATTCCCTCTTTTTTATTTCGTGATTGCTCATCTTCGTTTGTAAATGTTTTATACAGACAAGTTTGTGATATCAGCATACAATATCTTTTGTATAGTATTTCTAACAGGTTGCACACGTTAGTTTGATTGAATATTACCAAAACTTGCTACAATGACATTGAAATTGGTAATTTATAGCTTATGTTTGTTTGTAATTAAGCACAAAGCTACACAATGGGCTATATGTGCTCTGCCCACCACGGGTTTCGAAACCAGGTTTCTAGCGTTGTAAGTCCACAGACATACATTGGGAGGGGGGCTAATTTATAACTTTGGTCTCACTCGAATTAAATTCATTCCAACATAGATGACACATTAACGTTATTGTATAAGCATAAGTAATTATAATATTCACAACAGAAAGCAGTACAGATAGCCCATTGTGTAGCTTTGTGCTTAACAAGTAAGAAAGTTCTGGTAAGTTTGACCAGAAAGAACAAAATCTGCTAGTAACACAGGAAGTTATAAATAAGAATAATTAATAGCTTTCGAATTAATTGAAACGCACGTCGTAAACCAAGCTTTCGCTATTGCTAATTCTAGACACGATCCTCCGCTATTTGGTGTAACCGTATTTTTATAATTATACTCAAGATGTTTATTTTACTTTTTTTGTCTCGTTAGAAATTTACCATTAAGTAGTTGGCTGGACGTAGCCTAGTGGTTAGCGTACCGGACGGCCAGACACATATACTTTAAGTTCGAGCCGGCGAAATGTCATTGAACACGCTCCATACTTTTTACAGTAGGCAAATTATCAACGGAACAGTCAGTCCCACTCTTGGCTTAAGAGTAGCCGTGTAAACAGGCGTTGGGTGCTGCTAACTGGCTGCCCTCCTTTTAGTCAGCAGTTCTAAAATAGAGACGACTGTGAGTGAATTTTGGGGTCTCTAGCCTGGCCGTTTAGCCTATGTATTGCAGGGGGTGCAGTTCGTGTTGAAAATACTAAATCCAATACAGGTGCTTGACTTACTTCACCACTGATCAATATCGTATACATATAGATTCGTCAAGCCTATCAAAATAGAACTGTCGTGTAAAAGTGAAAGAAAAAATATTTGAAATATTGGCTCTTAGATAATTAAACCTTATCGAACCATTACATCAAACTCATACGTTGTTTATAAAGAACTCTATAATTAAAAGTTGAATCAAATTAAGAAAAAATATTGATAGCTGAAGGCACTCACGTGTTGATATTAAACTAGATTTATCTCACTACATCCACGTGAATGTGGTAGAAAAAAGTGTAAACATGGAACGAGATTGGCTAACTTACAATTGTTTAAAGTTAGGCACTCTTACAAACATTAACAAAAACTTGAAAAAAGGCTTAACTTCCAGGCCCATAACTTTACATTGTTCGCCAAAGTTAAGGCAATATTTTGCCCCTTTTGACAACTAAACATGATAATCATATATTATAAGAACTGTAATAATATTCCAAAGAACTGCTCTAACAATAGGGAACAAAATGAAATAAAACCGAGTAAGGTCTAAAAAAGAAACTTAATGGCATTATAAAACAGTTAAATCAGAGGTTTTTCTAAATCTTTTGACTGTAATTTGGGATTTCATAAACGCTATCTTACTTATCCGTTGATTTATTTAGCTCTTCTATACAGGAGACAAATTGATCAGCTGAACGCAGAAACAGTAAGGAAAAAGCAAATAAACTTTAATAAATATCAGATAAGAAACTTTTTTAAGAACCGAGGCAGGTTGTCAAATTACAAATATTACTGAATCTTGATTTAACACAGAGACTGCAGACTGACGTGAAGCATTCACTAGAGTTGACATTTTAATGACGAGAAAACCAGACACGAATAGATAGCAGGCTAATAGTATAGACATTACATAGTAATAAACATAAACATTCGATTAAATAATTTAGTTCGAAAATAAAAAGAAGAAGAAATAGCAGAGTCAAAACTTCTCCGGAAATGTCATCTTTTAAAGACACCAATGTTCTCCAGAAAACAGAAAGACTTCAAGCTGCTTCCCGCAATGTGTTAAGTATAATTTTTCTTCGAATGGGAGCTCTAACTTTGTGTCCCTGCCTGCGGTTTCGGATGAAGACATCTTACTCATCACGTTTTTCTCATTTTCTTTCATAGTTTCTCACAAACTGTTTGAGAAGCCGTTATTTGTTTGTTTTAGAATTTTTGCGCAAAGCTACACGAAGGGCTATCTGCGCATAATCGAATAATGAACTCATAGACCAGAAGGAGAGCAGCTAGTTAAAAGCACCCTCCGCCAACGCTTGGATTACTCGTATTTGACTGATTAATAGGATTTGGCCGTCACTCTTATGGTGCAACCTCGGCTCCAAAGTGCGGAGCACATTAGTTTCTGCAGCAAGACGCGAACCCTGAATCTTCAGATTCACATTCTGGACTCGCTAACTACTAGGCCATGCCAGGCCCCATGATAATTAGTTATATACTGTAGGTATTTCAGTGCTACTACGTTTGGTCGATGCAGTAAGCAAAGATTTTGTTTCGGACGAATCACGTGATTTCGTATGTGATCCGTCGGCTGAACATTGAAATAGCCTCCACTCCTCTCTCCCGCGCTTTTTGCTATATATTTGCATATTTTGCGTTCACAGTTTTTTTTTTCAGTTATGGGCGTTTGATGTACATCAGTGACGTCAGATAAAAAAAATTAAACAAAACACGATCAGCTATTTACCTTTTAAGTAAATTAGTTATATAAAAAAAAATCACAAAATATTAATAATTAAAACTGAAACTTGTTACAAGATGTCTAGTTAAATAAAAATATAGTCGGTAAATTTCGATGATAAACCTCTGAACTCTCCTTTAAATGTTGTAACTTGACCCCTATAAAACTCCCCCCTTTTTTTTTCTCAGTGTAAACGTTTAAATATAACCAGACTTTGCAAGCAGGAATAAAGAACTCGTGCTTAAGATAAACATTGCAACTCCCAACTTTTAGTAATGTTGTTTATGTAGAGCTTAAGCCTATTAAACCGAATCGAGAAGATTGTTTAACATAATATGAACACTCCGACTCTGCGCAGATGAAGTATTATATTATCTTTTTCTTTCTAGACGTTGCAAAAATCTTTTTTACGTAATATGTTTGTTTCCGAATAGGAAAAATTCAGCAGTAATTTTTTTTAGTAATGCTATCACATTTTGATAACAAGCTGTGTTCTTAGGGTTAATAAATTGCTGTTTCACTCAAAACATAAAGGAGAATTGATATTATGGAATGGTTAAAAGGGAATATCATATATTAGTATGCCTTCAACGTACACTTAAAAAGGAAAAATTCCTATATATCAGTATTATTTGACTTCATTTTATATATTGGTTGTCATCAGAGCTGTGCTTTACAAGTTATCATACGACAGGGAACCTAATAGGATGGATCAAATTTGACGTATTGCCTTTAATGTGTAACTGATTACATATTACGAACCGTGTGGTTTATGTTAATATTTTCAAGGCTGTTCATGGGTCTCTAGGTTTGTTTTAGTATTGTAACCTTCAGAGTAAAGCACTGTCGATATCTTACTAATCTATTTTTTCACAGACATATTTTGTTAAAATTACCCTTTGTTTCTAAAGAAAGGAAAGCAACGTTAAACGCTGTTTGAAGAATTTTTAGAAAGAAGCAAAAACAAAACAAAACTTCCTGTCGAATTCCGACATCGACGGGTCAAAACTTTATCCATAGATTGTCAGTTAAGAAGTTTTATATTTTCTGACATAAAACACATAAATTTAGTACAGTCAGTTATGAAAATGCTTCACGATGTACGGGGTACCAAGTTTTCTGTAGAACCTCATCATATACTGTTTAAATTGTGGTTTTAATAAATACAACAAGTAACGAAACTTAGTACCACCTTTTAGAATTCCAAAGAGTTCCTGTAGAAGTACACTTAGTTTTAACCGTTTTGTTTTTGTGACGGTCAAGTGCGATTTCAAAATTGCTACAAAAAAATCGCAGTTTACTTATTAACTACGTCACCATGGAAATAGTATTTTAATGTGAGGAAAATCTGGGAGCCATATGCCAAAAACAAAACAAAGAAACAACAAAATAAAAATATGCAAGTCAGATTTCCAAGATGGTCACCAAACAGTTTTTATTTGTGGTAGCAGATAATAATGTTGTTTTGGTAATAAACAACACGTTTCAAGGACGATTATGCACTGTATTCTATTTAACGTTCCTTTTTGCATTTTAATTAATATGAAAGTCTACGTTAATGCATAGTGAACAACAAAATGTCTAAATGAATCAAGCAACGTGACAGATAACGTAATGTCATAGATTTTGAAATTACTTTTTATTTTTGTTTTTTGTGGTGAACTTTGCCAGCTAAAGACAATGATGAGTCGTTTCTCTTCATCCTTCCACCTGAAAATCATATCTGAGCTTTCAACATGTCACAGTACGAAACGTACTGGTGTGTACGTATGAGCACGTGATTCAAGGGTGATAAGAAACCTTTTGTCTGTGTTGGATGGCATTCATGAAAGATATGAATGTGCTTATCAACATAATACGTAACCTTAGACTTACTTCTATTGCTTATACCGTGTTTCTGACTAAAAGCCCTGTTAAAGCTGTAGAATCTTTGGTAGCAGACCGCCCTACTTCTTTACATAAGTCTATGTATTATTATTATTGGATAGGTAGAAAATGAGTTAATACTTTAACAGATGGTAAGGGCACTCCAGCTGACTGAGTGTCTGTATTATTATCTTTTATCCATACCTTTTTCTTCTTTCAAACTTGAATCATCTGCCAGAATCCTGTCTACGCCAAATTTAAGGTCACGACTTGACACTGAAGGAGACACCGGTTGAGGGGAGGATGGAGTCGAAGTACGTGACAGGACGACACAGGTGGCTTTTCGCGGGACTGGGACTGTGGGAACTGTAGTCCGGGAAGCTTGTCGATCTCCCACAGCCGAGATTCCGCTGTAAGACTGCGTTGTTTTTTTATCCCCGTCGACAGCAATGTCTGTCCCTGTTCCTCCGTAGCAGGGCCAGCCGTAGGGTCCTGCGAGAGTGGTCGGCAGAAGAGACGAATATGCTGGAGCTGAATGATACAACATATAACTGCCAGAGATGAACATGATATTGATAGCTGTCCCAGCTGAGTGATAGTGTTGAAAAAGCCAAAGTCACTAGATGTAAGTAATGGACTATCGCTCTAGAATCAGTCCAAAGACAGTATGGGAATTAGATACTCTGTTTAATAAGATTAAAGGATTGATCAATGTAACTCTTATGGCATGCTCACACACTTCCTCATGCTGTGTGCTGACTTCTCTTTATATCTGTACAGCTTGTTGGCGGGTGTTGAAACAACTGATACCGCGTGCAGTCTAGTCTTTCGCACGTGCCTCATGTGGGGCGGCCCGTTTATGGATAAGGGCAGCAACATGAATTCGTCATGGACAAACTAGGGATTGATTGGCCAAGTAGCCGCACCTTTCTGTTACAGGACCGAGACGAAACTGGTCAAAATGACACCAGCCATATGACGTGCGTGTGTGGACGTTTAATAATGATAAAGAATAGAAAATGTTCTATGTGCATTATAAACATACTACAAATAGTATTAATTAGCAATAATGTCGTAATTCTAAACTTTTATTTTTTAGTTGAAAACGATTAGTTAGCTATATAGAGTAAGAAGAGAAAATGATCAGGAGTGATACGAAAGATGGAATTGTCTTCACTTATTTATTACAGCTGCTTCTACCAACCGCTCGCCATAGATCAGCAGTTTAATCTGCCTTGTTAATGACACAGACAGTTCAGACTGCCTTACAATAGACTTAAAACACTGTAAAAGCAAACTAATAATTCTATGATCCATAAAATAAAAGATTATTTAAGATAACAATTTTATAACTTTTATTTTGATTCATACTTTTTTCCCTACTTTCATTGTCCTAAGTTCCAAAATAAATAAGCCTTTCAAATCTTATAATTATAAATAACCTTACATTACTTTTGATCTTATAAAGTCTGTAGGTATATAATTACAGTAAATTTTGAGTTTGCAATTGTATCCTTAAACCATATTTTTGAACTTGCTTATAGACAAGCCCCCCAGTGGCACAGCGGTATATCTGCGGACTTACAACGCTAGAATCCGGGTTTCGATACCCATGGTGGGCAGAGCACAGATAGCCCATTGTGTAGCTTCGTGCTTAATTACAAACAAACAAAAGCTTATAGACAAATCCTTGTTCTACTTTTAACATCCTTACACTAATGTTTCGAGCTTTTATGTAAGTGCATCCTTACAATTCTTGTTTATCTTACACGTAGATGTACTTTTACTCTATTTTTTAACATACCTATAAATAAACCCTTTCATTACTGTTTAACTCATACATGTAGTCTACACAGAATTTCAAATGAGTTGATAAAGAGGAAGACTTCTCGAGGGAAGAAAATATCAATTCACGAGTCCAATGAAAGGCGACCGTCCAGTGTCCAAAACAATTATACACACTGTATGTTGTGTCTTTGATAAATAAAAATCGTTCTCATTTGTGTTACACATTACGTCCAGCCTTACTCACTTTACTAATCCAGTGTCATTTCTTGATTTATCCTGCCGAACCTCCCGTTATAAAGCAGACCTGCTTAGAAGTCTCTGCTGAAATCAATTTAACCTGAGCCACAGCAATACCTAAGATTTGATTATGTTTGATCACGTGGTATCTGATTTACTTAATTCTGATTTGGTTTTCTCTTTTGACATTGTCTAAGCATTGTTTTGGTTCTATTATGTTTCGTATTCATTTTGAATTTCTTTTTTCGTTTCCCATTTTGTCATTTCATATATTTTTGACGATTAAATATTTTCAGTACTATTCTGTTATGAAGTTCAGCTCATGTATTATAATATTTTTTTAACCATTAATGATTAATTATACTTTTCATAAGATATTATGTGAGGCCTATTATATTTTTGTAACACTACATTCTTAATCTAGAATTACAAGAATTTTTTTTC